ATATATATATATATATATATAATAAAAGGTAAGCTATGGTACTATATTGAAGAGACATGTATCCTCGACGATGTCAGGCGCCGTTAATTTATATATAAATATTAGGGTTCTCGCTGTTGCACCCCAAATGTTATGTCATCGTCCTGATCCGCGTCTCTCCTCCTCCGCTGCCTACCCAATCTTCTGTTTATTTTTTCGAAGTCGTTGATGGTACTTTTAGTCAATCCTATCAAGACGTCCATGACATTGCTCAATTGTGCAATAACACCAGCGGTCTGATATCTGGAAAAAAGAATAAAAATCTGAAAATGCAAATAAATAGGAAGAGACAATGCGTCAATGGGAATTTGCACTATTATTGGCAAGAGCATCAAAATATCGTCCTAAATTTTTTTCACATCGTTTAAAATAACATGTACAAGATTAGTATTATATATCAAATTGTTTTTCCACGTCTCAAAAATCGGAATAAATATCCGGATGAGAATAAATACAAAAATATAAAATATAAATAAATGACAATAAATATATTATAACGATATAATCTATAATCTTGATTCATCAAGATGAGAAAATACTGATACTGAGATTTAGTTTTTAGATTTAGAAATAACTGTTAGAATATCCTCATCTCGCTCGAATGCATCACTACTAATTACTGAATTAATAATATAATACTTACGTTTTCCCCAGCAGCTCATTATCATTGCAAATATCCATCGTAGCTTCCAACGCATGGGGCATACATTGATCGATCTCGGTAGCCTCATACTGTAAATTGCATGCACTATCTACTAATTCAGCAGACTTTTGCACCAGTTGCAGTGCTTGCACGTTAATAGAGTGTACGCAACCAATCAAATTATTAATATTCGCCATATTTAAATTTATTTGGTATGAACCGGTTGATTGAAGGACAGACTGACTGTGTCCGCGGAGGCTGTGCGAGATTTTATAGTAAAGATGTACGTGACAATATGATATCATATTGAAAAAGAATCCTCAGTCCAAGTACAGTCAAAAGTGCAATGCACCGGTCAAAAGTGTATGTCTCAGACAAAAGTATACGAGAAGACGTTGCGTTCAAAAGATTACATGAAGAAACTTCAGCATTTTTCTACTATAATGAGATCTACATTTCATATCAGCAGTAAAAAATATAATGTATCAATCAAAAGTATATTGTTTCAGGCTAAAGTATATCTCGCGTCCAAAAGATTCCACCTCAGTATTTTTATCTGTTGCAGCTCTTCGCATATTATTGAAGCGCAATTAAACATACGTCTATCGAACTGCTATCGAACCGCTATCGGTACACAGTTAAACAGCTATAAACAGCTTTCAAACAGCTATCGAACTGCTATCAGTACACAGTCGAACTGCTATCGAACGGCTATAAAACAGCTGTAAACCGCTATAAACAGCTATCGAACTGCTATCAGTACACAGTCGAACTGCTATCTGTACACAGTAAATAGCTGTAAAACAGATATCGATCCGCTATAAACTGCAATAAACCGCAATCGAACTAATATAAACAGCTATTGGACACCTATCGGTCCATTTTTAACAAGCATCTACTTATATCAGTCATATTACTACTATGGGTGATACGGGTAACAGAAATAAAACGTATTAATGTGATACATTTATTTAAAAAAGTCTTACAATTCTTTCTGGCATCGAGACCACCAGTTGAATATCTTAAATACATTTTGCAAGGAACAATTATTAGCATGTCTTTCACATCGTGTAGTATTACAGTCATCTAGATTACGTAGCGATTCCACATCTTCGTAATGCGCATCCAGAGTTTCAACGATTACACCGTCACTGTCGAGTATATCAGCTAGCCAACGCCGTTTTCAAGTCCCTTTACATATACGAGAACTTCTTCTATCACAGCCTCTTTAATCTTAAAAATTTAATTTAAGGTGTTTCGCCATGCTGTACGGGACTATCCCGTGGTCCGACCGCAATCCATGGTGATAAGCACCCAACCAGAAAGCGCAAGATTTGTCGGATCTTGTCAGAAAATTCCATGGCATAGGACAAAAAAAATATAGTGAGTGAGAATGGCTTCTCTTCTCAGCACCGCCACTTTCTTGACGATAAATTTTTTGTCGACGACGAATCCTTGCAGATCCACAAACGTCGGTATGACCATGACGAACATTTATTCGAAACTGCGCTCATCATATCAGCGGCAATCTCTTTTAAATTCTTGCTGATGTTGCAATTTACATGATCTTGCGCACTACGTTCGACAACGGACTGTATTCGATTACACGATCGTGTATGATGAGACAGTATGCGGTAGCACTAGCAGGCACATTCTCTTTGCAGTCAAATTCTATGCGTACATCCACGGTTGCGCTCTTGACGGATTCGTTTTGTCGCGAACAATCAATAACCGCGAAAGGCCCTTTCTCGATAAACGAGAGCACGTTGAGAAGCGTTTCGAAACAGTCGATTCCGTAATAGGCTTTACGAAAACGCGTGTACATATCAAACAAAACGGCGTATCTCTTTTTGCCAAAATCCAAATTCAAATTATCGTACGGATAAAACTCTGAATTTAGATAGAGTTTCACGTTGCTCAAATTACAATCATCGAACAGGCTAGCATCTCGAGACATGATATTCTTTCGTCCGGTCTGCAGAGCAAAGATAACGTATCGCGGCTTCTCAAGCTGAGTCGCCGTTTTGACGGCCCATGAATGTTTGGTAGTACTCTGTAACAGAGGATACTCGTACAGATCTCGCGAAAACTCATGCTCAGATAACGACCACTTTCCAATGCTCGCAGCATCGACAATTTATTCATCTCGTTTAACGTAACGTGAGGCATCCGCCACTGCACTTTGAATAATTCAACCTCAGGCTTCGTCTCAGAATTACCCACCAAACAATTGTAATCGTTGCGCGCTCGTATCAAAATCAATTCATGACGAGCGTTAACGACCACGCGTTTGTAATCTTCGCATAAGCCCAACATGTTGAGCGGTGCGCAAAAATTAAAGTATCCTTCCTCCATGTCGGATCTAGTGTTCCATCCAGCTTTCAGCACAATCAAAGATTTGTCGTACGTCAGCGACACATAGTTCTTGAGGGTACTGGTATCTCCGACGTTTCCGTTGCGGCCAATCTCCACACCGTTCAGTTCGTATCGAATTTCATCGAACATGAACGTCACGCAATTATTTCCAAGCGTTGTTGGCGAATCATGATCTTTCTTCTTCAGCGTCAATCTTTCTTCGACGTAGAGAAAACTGTCGCACGGCAACGTGTATAAATCCTGCTGCTGTATGGGTATTCGTATCTCATCGCTGTGAGCAAACGTTGTGTTGGCGTATGGATTGTATGTGTGAGTCTCGATCTTGACGATGCGGTTGTCAAAGATCGGCTCCCTGGCAATGTTTAAAATATCAGTCATTTCGTACGATGAATCCCAACGACTTTAAAAATGCTATGCTGGAAGCAGTGAGTTTCTTTCTAGATGACGTTTCTCCGGTAATAGGCGTATCTCTCGTCCGTTTCAACTGTTCGTTCAACACAAGCATCTCACGTTAGCGCCGTCGTACATGCAATCTAACGGTAATCTCTTCTCCACGAAAATCGAGCACTCGACCGTCTTGATCCACCACGCGAATCGTCAGATCTGTAATGCTCCGTACGACGATCGGAAGGTAAATGATCTGCGTCGGCCTTTCCGATAGCTTATATCCTGGCAGCACGCTCGGTGAAAACTCATGTATCGTATGTACGCACCTATCGTTGCTGTACGCACCCGCAGTCACGTTACACTCGATACGAATAGTGTTTGCGCTGATGATGCTTATAGGCACGTTCGATTCGTGCCACTGCTGCGGCTCAAGCACAAGATTCGACGAAAATCCCAATAACGTCCAAAATCCAATGTTGCGTGGTTTTGTCAAATCTATCCGATAGGCGCATTTAATCTCACTTCTCATTGTATTGTTGTTGGCGCGAATCACCAGCGGGAACTCGCCGTCTTCATCCACCTTGCGCTTCGCGTTGTGAGAACGTAAAATTTCGCGTTTCAGATATCGCTCTATATCATGCAGTTCGTACGATCCTTCGGAAATGACAATTTCGTCATCGTCAAAGTAAAACTTATTGTTTGTCGAATTTACATTCGCTAGAGTATAGTATGTTTCAAAGTCTGTCAGACCGAGCTCGTAATCGGCATCGTTCAAATCCACAGCTGGAAAGTAGCTCACAGCAAGGACACTATTTTTGCCGGTCAGCGTAAATGTCAACATATTTAAACGAATACTGAGTTAAACGGTACAATGTCGGTCCTAAAATTGCTTGTCAACCGTTCGTAGAAACTGTAGACACAACTGTCCACAATTACTCTGATTGTAGCGTTGATAGTGCGTGCAATTGTACTCGATTACACTGTTTACCAGATATCGTTCGAATTCCTTCGGCGGTCGAAGATTGCCGAAACTGTAGAAATATATGGCGCGATTTCCCCTTTTCGCATATGCCATCTAATGCGTACCGAGTCCCTCGGCATTATCCAAATTTACGATACCGCTCTCGTTTCAATGTACTCCTTCCACTGGTAATGTAGTACGCATAAAGATACCTCTAAAATATGGAATGCGCATACGATTTGCAAGTTGCTGCAGTTGCACGTTGGTAGTTACACCCTTTGGCAGTTTTAACATCTCGTTTTTTTTTCTACGCGCGACACCTCGTCCGCGCTTGTAGGGAGCGAGATAAACACCGCGACCTTTCATGACGCGATTATGACGTTGCAGTTCTTGCAGCTGATGCTGCACCGCTTTGCTATCGTTTACGGCCTTGGCGACTCCCGCCGCTCCGCCGACCAACAACCCGAGAACGCCCAGTAACGGAAGAATAGGTAGGACGCCGCCGCGTTTCGCTATCGGAAGTATCCGCTTGCTCTTCCTCTTCCTAGTTTTCAGGCCCATACCAAATTTTGTCTTAGTCTTCATAGCCGCCCAAACGGCCGTGGCTGCGGCTCTCTCTCCAAGAGTTGAGTACCTTGCGACAATGCGTTTCCGCGCCTCAGCGAGTAATTTGTCAGCTGTGTGTCGTTTCGCGAGTTCGTTGCGAATACGCTATATCGTGCTCGCGACACGCCGCGTCCAACGGATTGATACTTCGTTCACCTCTCGCCAATCGTTTTTCTAAATGCGTTCCCGGACCGCAAAACTGGTATCCGGGAATATGCAGTTCGAAAGGAAGCGCGTTTATCGCGCGATTTAACAAGCCTCTCCACGGCATTCGCCGCAATTCTTTATCAGAGGCGCCGGTCTGTCGATATGCATTTGATGACTCGGCAAATTGTAGTGCTTCAAGCACCGACGGTATTGTTGTACCTCCGAATCGGTTCGTATATGCTCGGGTAGTCTATCCTACAACAGATCTATAAAATTTTCAAACCCTCGCAGCAGTATAATTTTCGGTATATCCAACTCTTTTGATGTTAAACTGTGTAGATCGTTCGATATGATGAGAAACATTTTGATTATTGAGCGATTTCACTCTACGCATCCCTATAAATAGACCCGCTCGCGATATTGTTTTCAATATTTTGTGGAAGGAGAAAATATGCGGTTCGTGCGTCAGTCGCGAGCGATCAAAATGAAGAATCTCGATGGAAAAGTGCGAACCGATAAAGAGATGCGCAAGCATGGTAGCTGCCAACCTCTATACGCGCTATCGTTTGGGGACCGTCAAACTGTGGAAAGACGAACGTGCTGATAAGCCTGTTGGAAAGTCCACATGGAGTACGATTCGAGAACGTATACGTGTACTCGAAATCGTTGCAACAGTCGAAATATCAATATCTGACGAATTTGCTAACGCCAATCGAAGAAATTGGCTATTTTACATTCTCTAATAATAGCGATGTCATTCCATCGAACGAGGCGCTTCCAAATTCTATCTTTATCTTTGATGACGTGGCATGCGACAAGCAAAACGTGATAAGAGAGTATTTTGCAATGGGTCGACACGCGCACGTTGATTGTTTCTATCTCTGTCAGACGTATGCAAAGATATCGAAGCATCTTATACGTGACAATGCGAATCTGTTGATCCTGTTCAAACAGGATGTAAGACAGTACTAATCTGAAACGAGTGTACAACGATCACGTAAATACTGACATGTCCTACGAAGATTTCTGCGATTTGTGTTGTAAATGTTGGCAGCAAAAGAATGGATTTTTTGTGATTGATAAGGATATTGCGCTTAACAACGGACGATACAGAAAAGGTTTTAATGACTTTGCGGTACCGTGACATAATTAGTTGTTATCGATACGCTAACTAGGCAACATGGACACCACCAAAGATCACGAGAGGATAGCTAAAGAGATTGCGAAAACGAGCGATTCGATTCGTAAAAAGTACCGCATCCTGAAAACCGGTAACATCGAGGAAGACATCGCGTTGGAGAGACACTTTAAATCTATAATAAACAAATAGAAGGACTCTTTATACAAAAATAAAAATAATAAATAAAGGGCGAAGTAAGAGTCAATACATAAAAATTATAGTCCGAAAATTGGTAAAACATGAAAGATTGAGTCAGTCTGAATATAAAATATAAGATAACATTTAATTAAATAAATTGAGAAACACATAACATTTAATTAAATAAATTGAGAAACACATTACAAGTTTCGGCTACGCGATTGAGCCCTCTTCAGATACAATTTTACAAAAATTTGATATACAAAAAGTTCACGCAAAAAACGCATATTAAATACTAATCGGATGTATCAATCTACGCCGTTCACATGCCATTCGTGGTCAGTGTCTCTTCGGAATCTGATTACAATATAAAGTTTTATTACAAAAACTAAACGTATAAATTCTGACAAATAATATCTTACCAAAAGCCATGTGTAAAATTAATTTAAAATTTTCCAGA